TCTAGCCTGGGTGACAGAGTGAGACTCCAGTTTAAAAATTTTAACAGCCTGTAATCCCAGCACTTTGGGAGGCCAAGGTGAATGGATTGCCTGAGTCCGCAGGTTCAAGAGCCACTCGGGCAACTTGGTGAGACCTCATCTCTACAATAAATTTTAAAAATTAGCCGGGCGTGGTAGCGCATGCCTGTAGTTCCAGCTACTTGGAAGTCTGGGGTGGAAGGATCGCCAGAGCCCAACAGGTCAAGGCTACAGTGGCTGGTAGCATGCCACTGCACTCCATTCTGGGCAACAGAGTGAGACTCCAACTCAAAAAAAAATTTTTTTAACAACCTCTTTTCACAATTTGGCTAAACTGTTTGCTGTAAGAGGCCTCTCTCCCAGCCCGTCTTGGCTTTCAACATGCCTTCCTCAGTAAGCCTAGTCATTTTTGGCTTTTGATTTAAAGTTTGGCCTTTTACTTGAACACTTAGAGGCTACTGTAGGGTTATTAATTGACCTAATTTCAATATTGTGCCTCAGGAAACAGGAACACCGTGGAGAAGGAAAGAGACAAGGAATAGCCAGTTGGGAGAGCAGTTAAACACACACATTTATTGAGTACATTAGTTATCCTCTGTGGGCACAGTTCGTGGCACCCTAAAACAATTGTAGTTGTAACATCACAGATCACCCTAACAGATATACTAGTAGAGGAAAAAGTGAAAGTGCGAATTACCAAAATGTGACAGAAACACGATGCGAGCACAGGCTTTTAGGGAAAATGGCACGATAGACTAGATTGACCAGGGCTGCCGCAGTCCTTCCATTTGAAAACCCCAGTGTCCATGGAGTACAGTCACGTGAAGCACAGTGGAATGAGGTGTGCCTGCATGAGAAATTGAAGTGGGTGGAAATTCTAACCTCTTTTTGCTGTGCTATCCCTGATGGGCCTTTTGCTCAGAGGAAAGCAAGAGTGAGCTGCAGGGCTTGGATTCCTGCCTCATTAGAGGAAATGCAGCATTGTGTGATTTGGTTCTTCTGAATAGAGGAGAGAGTCCTAAAGGAGCCTTGTACCCAGCCCCAAGGACCTTAAAGAGGTGAAAACAAATGGCATTCCTGGTTATCCTGAGGGTAGACTGCATAGTTAGAGAGACTACTAATAACCAGTTGGACTCTTGTGATATGTTGCTTGGAGGCAAAGAAATTGACAGTTGTCAGCTGGTGCCAGTGGCCAGCAGTGGTCTCTAGTCTTACACCCTTGTCTGAGCACAAGCAGTTGTGGACTCTGCTCTCTGCCATGGGGGTCTGCTCTCACAGATGAGATTCTGATTGCTAGGGAATGGGGCCGTGGCCAGCCAAGTGAAGGTGCTAGGTACGACACAGGTGGAAACAAGGAAACCTGACCCGCAACTATCCAGGCGGGGCAGGCATAGAATTTGTAGCTGGTGGGAAGGGTGGCAGGTAGGTCAGTGTGCCAGGGAGTCCTGTTTTAGGTACAAAGAAGCTGTTTTGGTCTCTGAGCCCTCACCCTGACTAAACAGCAGCAGGAAAATGTGTGAATGTGTGATTGTGTGTACATGGAGGCGCATGAGCTCTGCTGAGGGCTGGTACTTCTCTGCTGTCATCGCAAACAGTGAAAGGTGAATGTTTCAGCCCCGAGGAACCTGTTATCCTATCACAGTGCCTGCTGTGTTCTTCGTGTTTCACTGAGCACACACTGCTTTCAGAGCCTGGGTACCAGCATCGTAGTCATCCAGACGTCTGTTTAGCGAACAAGTGGCCTCTTTCCCATAACGTGGAGCTGACTTTCTGCCAGGACCACCCCCAAGCTCTCCCCTTCTGGTTCCTTCTTCACTTTGCCCCAGGATTATTAACCCTGAAAGCTCAGTTCTCAAGCCCTCAACAGCCTCCTGCGGCACAGGAACTGTAGCCACTGGGCCTGGCTCTGGAAGGCCTGGCGCGAGCTCCTCCGTCTACCTTTCAGCCTTGTTGGACACACACCCAGGCCTGCCTGCCCACCCTGTGCGCTTGCTCCAGCTGTCGATGCCTGCACGGACCTCCCTCCATCTCGGGTGGGTGCTGTCCTTCCTGTCCTTTGGTGCCTGGTTCAAGTGCAAAGTTTACGCAAAGATCTGCCAAATCTCCTCTCTCCCCCTCTCCTCGCTGACTCTCTGGTGCTTACATCTCAGCTATATATGACTGACTTTTGCAGATACGTTTTCTCCTCCCCATCAAATTCCAGACTTTTCTCTTGTACCTCTGCAGCCCCACCACACACACAGGGTGTCCACGTATGCACTTAGTACACAACGGCTAAATTCACTCAGGTCAGGTGACCTTAGGTCTCCTCTGACATGGAGACTGTTCGGTCATGTATCTTTATTAGACATCTGCTACATGCCAGCTACTTTGCATCCCATGTCCCATTTAGCAAGCAGAACTTCCCATTTTCTGTTCTCTTGTTCTGGAAGTGATCCTTGGAGAATCTACTGTGGAATGTCTTACAGACAGAGGCACTGGAATAAGGGAGAGAATGCTGCTGCATGCACTCGTTTGACTCTGAAAGATGCCAAGAAGGGTTAGGAGACTAAGAGCTGTATGGGAGAGCCCCTGCAAGGGGGAATGGAGCAGGAGCTGAGGAAACTGGCAGGGCTGGCAGGGTCCATGGAGGAGGGGACAGGCTTTCACTGCGGGGGTGCTGGGAGCACTGCAGTGAAGCCACCGGGGAGCCAGTGCCGCCCACCAAAGAGGTCTCCACCCCACCTTCCCATGTCCGTGGGAAGGGTGACTCTACACCGACAGACTGATGAATTTTGGAGTGCGGCTGCTGTGTCCCCTGTGTTTGCAGAGGCACATCTTCATGACTGCCACACAACAGCATCCGCCAAGCCAAAAGTTTGGAGGTACCTGTGGCATCCAGGTCCATCAGCCAGTGTGGGAGGGAATCTGCTGTCTCTCTTCTGCAGCCGGAACACTTGCACTCCTCTCTTGGACGGTCTTTCTGCACTCAAGGAAAATTATTTCTTTAGTGCAGACCAGCTGAAAACCATGCCATTGCTGCCCGAGGACCCCACAATCCCTGGAGCATGGGGGCCTGGGAACATGTGGTCATCCTGGATCCACTTCCTGTCCTCCAGAGCACCACAGCTGTGGCTTCTCCTGAAGAGGCTTCCTCATGCCTTCATGGACGGGAGCATCTCTGGGCACACCTCTGTCTTTGTGTCTCTCCCTGCTAGACTGTGAGCATCTCAGAAGCCAGAAGCTACTTTGATTCCTTACCTTCCAGTGCCCCTCCCACAGTAGATGTCAGGGAAGATACACAGTTTGTACTTGCCAGTGCTTTGCTGACCCTGAAGACGGGCTTGCAGGGATCCCTCCGTTCAGGCCGGGCCCGCAGCTCAGGCAACTGCCCAACACAGCCCTGAGCAGAGGCTTCTCCAGGTGGGACTGTGCACCTTGCTCCTTGGGAGTCTCACATGCTGGCTCTGAGACTCATTCTTCACTTACTCCATGTCACAGGAGCCAAGGATTGTCCCAGTAGTGTTATTTTACTGGGCTTTTTTACATGGTTTTTTCTCCTTGTCCTCTCTTTCCCAATCCTAAGATAAACTTCCAAAGTCCTGCGTCACTGTGGCTAGTTCAGGTTTCCTGAGGGGGCTCTGTCTTATCCTTGCTTTTTGTGATACTCGCCCCGTTCACCCGCCTACCTGAGGCTATGCTTCAGCCTCTCTGTGTGCCACTGTGTGCAGGCACCCAGAGGGGAGCAGCGGTTCTTCTAACCGCAGCCCTGAGCACATGCATCCCAGGGTTATGTTTGGGCAGTCTGCTGGAGAACAGTCATCCAGGTTCTGGGAGCTTTCTCTGTTGTTTTCTGTAGGAATAGTTGGCCTTTCTCTGAAGAGGGTGAGCTTCTGTGAGCTAGGGCTTAAGACCAAAAGCTCTCCGGAGAGTTACTAGGAAGGCCTTTATTACTGCAAAGGTCAAGCATCTTCATCTCTTTACCTGGGCTTTATGCCCAAGGTGGGCAGCCTCAGAGTGACAGAAGCTGCTGACAGGTGGTGAGGGCCAGAAACCCGCACCTCTGAAGACTAAGGGTTTCTCTTCCCATCTGCCCTCGTTCTCTCCTTCATGGGAAGCAGACCTGCAAGAAAAATTAATGCAGTTTCAAAAGGGTTGAAACTGTTTATTCACCCATCCCAGCCAAGGTTTTCTGGAACATTCCTAATTTCAAATATTCCATCCCACTGCTCCATAAATCCTTGTAAATCTCTGAAATGTCCTGGGAATTCTAACTTTGGACATAAAAATTCCATGACCTTCTTGTATCTAAAAAGTGTAAGAACTGTCAGTTACATGCCACGTGTCTTCGTTGTGACATGAGAATCACCCAAGTGATGGATAAGTGAAGCCAGAACCTTGGGAAGAAGAGACTGGACTCTTGAGGTTAATGGGTACTATGCAAATGAGCAAGACCCCGTTTCCCAGGAAATGATCAATTTGGTGTAGAAGCTAAGGGTTTGCTTAGAAAAGCAGGAGGTTCTTGAGTTTGAATCCAAGCTCAGTAGAGATTTGCTGAGTTGAACTAAACTTTGCAAGTGGGTGCTGCTATCGACGGACTTGGAGGGACCTCTGCCCTCACTGCCAGGCAGACCAGGCCTGCAAAGGAGCCTGGAGCCTCCGGGGGCAGTGGCTGATAGCCAGCACTCCTGCCATGAACTGTATTGTAGTAGTTCCGGCCAGTTGGGACCTGAGGCAGTGATCTCCCAGAGGGAACAGGACTCCACTCTCCTGTGTGCAAGCTGCAGCTCAGGTGGTTGGCACTGAAGTGACTACACCCTGGCTGCATGGGGCGAGGGGGGCTGGGAACTCGCCCAGAAGGTTTCGTCTTACTAAAAGCAGCATTTCTTTAACTGCAGAGAGAGATTTTTATAGCTTGTATTCAGAGTAAGGCGAGATTAATTGGTGTCTTCCTGCTTCTGTTTGTTCCTGAATTCACTTGAGTTTTTGCTTTCACGTTGCAGGTAAACTAAAAGATCTTGGGAACTTGGTTCTCCGACCTTTTGGGCTCTCCACGGAAAATTTCCAGATCAAACAGGATTCCTCCACCGGCTCCTACTCCATCAATTTTGTTCAAAATCCAAATAATAACAGATAACAAAGATAACAATAGCTTTAAAAGCTGACTTGGAAATTGTGTGCTGCTTGCTGTTAGCAAGGGGAAAGGCCCTGCCAGACTTAAACTTGAAAAGCAACTTATAAGGACAGGCTGCCCACTAGGGCCTGTGCTCCCTCTGCCCTCTTGTGTTATATCAGGGTGAAATGTACTTCCTGATGTAATGAGCCTAACCTGATACCCAATTTAAGGCGGTGTCTGTGCGGCTGTTGCCCTGGTTCTGCCTGTCCCTTGTTCAGGAAGAAGCCTGAGCCACACAGACACACAAGCCTCTCCTGACCCAAGCAAACCTGGTGGTTAGGAAACTGCACAGACATGACAGATGACAGACTCCCGCCTGCTGTTCCCTCCCCATCACACACACTCTTGGGGCTGCTGCGTAGCCTCCAGCACTTCCTGATTTCCTCTATGGTAATAAAAGCTTTCTGTGCCGGTCTGGGCTGGGTTGTGAATTTTGTCGCGCGTAAGACCAACTGACGCAGAAGACCTCTCTGGCTTTGGGAGCAGTACTGGTCTTCAGCAGGGGCACTGAATGGAGATTCCACAAACCTGGATAAAGCTATAGCTGCCACCGCAAACAGATATCCTGAAGAACTGAACTTTCCTCCGTGTACTAGGTAGGACTCAGAAACTCCACCTCACACACTGTCTTGGACCCCTCCAGGTTTGTGTAGATAATTAGAAATTATTTTTGACCAAATGTTAATAGTTTCAACTTAAAATAGCTTCATTTGGGTATGGTGATGAATCCCAGAACAAAACCATATTCTTTTAGGCTGTGTGAGCCCAGAAGTTACAATGATTGATTTTTTTTCCTACTCATCAGTTGATCTAATGAAAAGCTTTCAGTGGCTCTGGTGTGAGTGTCAAAAGCAGTGACATAGCCAGGCTCAGTGGCTCACTCCTGTAATCCCAGCACTTTGGAAGGCCAAGGCAAGAGGATTGCCTGAGCCCAGGGGTTTGAGACAAGCCTGAGAAACATGGCGGGACCTCGTCTCTACAATAAATCAAAAAATTAGCCAGGTGTGTGGCGCACACCTTCCAAGTTCTCAGGATCCCCTGAGCCCAGCAGGTTGAGGCTGTGGTGGCCCTGAGCATACCACTGCACTCCATCCTGGGCGACAGAGTATGACTCCAAAACAAACCAAAAATAATAACATCCAAGTTTCATTTCAGGAATGAGACATACGATTCTGTGGCATGCAGTAGTCACACTCCCAGTAGGAAGGACTGTGTGGTTCCTAAAAGCCTCTGGATAGGCTGTGGGTAGATTGGGAGGGGAATGATGTGGCATGCTCACTCCGATTGGCCAAACCTGTCTCCCAGCCTGAAATGTCATTCTTCATGGAATTTCCAAGGAAAAGGAGAGAGGGAGAAAGTGTGGTTAGTTTTGCTTTTTTTCTTTTTTTTCCCCCCACCCTCCCCCTCTTTTTTTTCTTTTGATCAGGGTGAACCTCAGAAGAAACTATATGTTAAATCTGGCATCCAGTGCTCATGACTATAATCCCAGCACTTTGGAGGCTGAGGCAGAGGATTAGTTGAGCTCAGGAGTTCAAGACCAGCCTAGGCAACATAGTGAGACCCCCCCATCTCTACAAAAAAAAAAAAAAATTAGCTGGGTGTGGTGGCATGTGCGTATAGTCTAGCTACTCAGGAGACTGAGGCAGGAGGTTGAAGCTGTAGTGAGCCATAATCGTGCCACTGCACTCCAGTCTGGGTGACAGACTGAGACTCTAACTCAAAAAAAAAAAAAATCTGGCCTCCAGTTTGTCTGAAAAAGAGTGCATAGAAAACCCCATAAGTCGTACAGCAGACTCGGCTGAGTGCTGTGTGTTCGGTGGTCGGTGCAACCCTTGTGGCCAGTGTTGTGCTAGAGTAGTGGCTCTCAGACTCACTGTTCTCAGGAGCCCTTCAAACTTGAAACACATTTTGTTTTTGAGTCTCACTCTGTCGCCCAGACTGGAGTGCAATGGCATGCTCACTCCCACTGCAGCCTCAACCTCCTGGGCTCAGGCGATCCTTCCACCTCAGCCTTCCAAGTAGCCGGAACCACAGTTGTGTGCTACCATGCCTGGCTGATTTTGGATTTATTGTAGAGACGAGTTCTCACCATATTGCCTGGGCTGGTCTCGAACCCCTGAGCTCAGGCAATCCTCTTGCCTCAGCTTCCCAAAGTGCTGGGATTACAGGCTTGAGTCCCCACGCCCAGCCTCTTGAAAGACATTTAAAGAGCATTTCCATTTGTGTGGAGTTTATTTATTAATATTTACCATATTTGAAATTAACATAGAAACTTTTAAAGTATTGAGTTAATCCCTTTTTAAAAAATGTTTCATGTTACTTTAATTTTATGAAAGTCTTCCAAATCGAAGACACGTTCAGTGAGAAATGTGAAATTTTGCATCTTTGCTGATCTCTTTTCCACGTGGCTTGACAGAAGACAGCAAGATTCTCACATCTATAGCCAGAGCCTGGTGGTGCGTGCCTGTAGCACCAGCTACGTGGAAGCCTTAGGCGGAAGATTGAGCCCAGCAGGTCAAGGCTGCAGTGGCCATGAGCATGCCACTGCACTCCAGCCTGGGCGACAGAATGAGACACTCAAAAAAAAAAAATTCTTACATCTCCTCAGTTTGTCATGATAGCATACATCATATCTTTGGAAAATTTGTGTACTTGTGACAGAATGACAGTTAAAAATAATGCCTTTAGTATTATGAAAATAGTTTGGGCCTCATGGATACCTGAAAAGTTCTCGGGAAACCCTAGGGAACCTTGGACTGACTACACTTTGAGAACTGCACTGTCAGATTGTGACCTCTGAGGTCAGTGACTGAGACTTAATACAGTAAGGACTGAGGTTGCTGAAGGACTATGCTCCGAGGAACAGGAAACTGACTTGTCTAGCAACAACTTTCATTGAGAGAAACTCCCAGAGACCATCCGTGTTACAGCGTCTATGTTCTGCTGCTTAGGCGTTCCCCACCTCTTTCTTCCTCCCCCTCTGCCTCTTCCCTTCTTCCACACTAAAATGTTAGGGGAGCTTGCAGCTCGGCATGCATCCCATGGGTGGGTTGAGCAGTGTGTCTGGGAAAGGAAGGAAAGAAAGGGATCTCTGGATGTGTGAGTCTGCTAACGCCAAGACGTTTTTATCTCACACTGTTACTTTCTTGCTTCCAAAATCTACAAGAAAAGATAAATTCAAACCTTTTGAAAACCTCTCAGCCTGGGCAACTTGGTGAGACCTTATCTCTACAATAAATCAAAATAAAGTAGCTGGGCATGGTGATGCGTGCCTGTAGTTCCAGGTATTTGGAAGGCTGAGGCGGAAGAATTGCCTGAGCCCAGCAGGTCGAGGCTGTGGTGGCCATGAGCGTGCCACTGCACTCCAGCCTGGGTGACGGAGTGAGACTCCAACAAAAAAAAATGTCTGACCATTGAAAATCCTGAGAGATTTCAAAAGTAGGAAGTAAGTAGAAGGAAGGTGGCCTGTGTTTGCCTACTACTGCCAAGATGTATGAATTTTTTTTTTTTTTAGTCATAGTCTAACTTTGTTGCCCAGCCTGCAATGCAGTGGCACAATCATGGCTCACTGCAGCCTTGACCTCTTTGACTCAGGAGGTATTTCTGCCTCAGCCTCCCAAGTAGCTAGGAGATAGGGTCTCGCTATATTGCCTAGACTGGTCTCAAACTCCTGGGCTCAAGCAGTCCTTCCGCCTCAGCCTCCCAGAGTGCTGGAATTACAGGCATGAGTCACTGTGCCAGCCCCAAGATGTATGACTTAAAGTCCTGTCATGCTTTTCTTCTCCTGCCAAAAAAAGTAGACCAGAATTTATTTATTTTTATTTTTTGAGTCAGAGTCTCACTCTGACACCCAGGGTGGAGTGCAGTGGCAGGCTTACGGTCACTGAAGTCTCAACCTGCTGGGCTCAGATGATCCTTCCACCTCTGCCCTCCAAGTAGCTGGAACCACAGGCATGCACCACCACACCTGGCTAATTTTTTTTTTTTTTGAGTTGGAGTCTCTGTCACCCAGGCTGGAGTACAATGGCCTGCTCACGGCCACCGCAGCCTCCACCTGCTGTGCTCAGGTGATCCTTCTGCCTCAGCCTTCCAAGTAACTGGAACTACAGACACACCACATGCCACCACTCCCAGCCAGCTAATTTTTTGATTTACTGTACAAATGAGGTGTCGCCAAGTACCCAGGCTGGTCTCGAACCCACGGGCTCAGACAATCCTCTCACCTCAGCCTCCCAAAGCGCAGAGATTATAGGTGTGAGCCACCGTGCCCAGCCTTTTTTTTTTTTTTTTTTTTTTTA